GCCCTCCTTTTTCTCTAATTTTGGTCTGCAAACTTAGGTTGTTAACCATCCAGAAGACAAGCTTATTGTTATTACCATACAACCTAGGCTGTTAACATCATTTTCTTTCTTAATACATTTTCTTTCTTATGTTTGAAGTGTATAATCTTTTCACTTCCTGTGTAGAATTTACCCCTGTACATAACATGTCTTAATTCCTTTCTTTGTCCCCTTTCCTTTCCCTTCTCTTCCTGTCCTTCTTGATCCTCTTCCATCTTCTGTACATTTGCAGTACATAATGTTCACATTCCTTGTGTGAAGTCGATACATGTACATAACACATTTTGATTCCTTTTTCTTTCCATTTCTTTTTTCCACCTCCCCTTTCCCTACATCTTTTGATCCTTTTCCTCTTTGAGAAAGCTATATTTTCCCACTCCCTACTATCTATCATCTATTTTACTCCTTATGTATAGTTTGGTTTTTCTAATATAAGAAAAACTATGTGAGATTTAGGTTGGTGTGCCTGATTTATGTTATTTAACACAATCTCAAGGTGCATCTGCTTTCCTAAAAATTACTCAAGTTTATCCTTATGTCAGAGTAGTACTCCATTGTGTGAAAATAGCACATTTTCTTTATCCTTTCGCCTATTGATAGACATTGGAAAAAACTTCCCTTCATTCCTTATGTTAGCAACCTTGTATGTTTCCTTCAGCATTCTTACAATATTGCATCCATATTCACACATACATATATTCTCATACTGAGTGGCTTGGTCATTTTCCCTTTGCAAGAAGAGAACATCCAACACCCACAACTCAGAAAAGGAGAGGTTTATTTTGGCTCACAATTTCAATGGATTCAGTCCAAGGTCAGCTGATCTCCACACAGAAATGGCATTGCATAGGGGCCTGGCAGAGGACAACTCCTCATCCTATTGCAGCCAGGAAGCAGAGCACAAAGGAAGGAGACAGGGACACGAATATTCCCTGCCCGCCCAGGCTCCTGGTGACCTGTGCTTTCTGACCTGGCCC